TATTATTCGACATGAGAGAAGAATAGAAGATCTGAAACTATTGGCCATGTTAGCGTAAGCTAAAACTTTTTCGATTTGCCGTGAAAACATATACAGACAGAGAGACAGGGGAGCATGCACGCTTCGATCGAATTTTGAGAAGGATGTTTTTGCTGTGGAATGTTTCCTATACTACATGCATAATGATATTATATTGAGTCATAGGAATGGGACTTTGGATATCGTTGCTTCACCCATAGCAGTGTGAATATTGTCAACAGGTGAGTCCAATGAAGCAACAGAAAACATGATACAGACGAAGGTCGTCTGTTTAATGATGCGATGAGGCTATGATGCTTTCGTCAAGTGGCAGCTGATTAAAACGCGTTTAGGCTTTCCATACGTAGCCATTTTTGATATGCAGAACAACATCAATCATTTGCAGAAGACTTTTCTGAACGGAAACTTCTATCATTTCCACTCGTGGACAAAGGATGAACCAGTTTAGCACCTCACACTTACAAATCTGATCAGCTGATGAATAGTAGAGAGGCATATTATTAAAACCTTCTATTATCTGATATTACACTGCATGATATTATACAAGGAAAAAATTATTTTAACACGGCGAGCATTGTTTGCACCGTTATGCTTTGATTTGCTAAACACCCGCCGTGATACTCCCATTTGGAGACCTAAATTTACGTATTCCATATGAGATAAATATATTTCTTTAGATACCTGTTGACGCTAAATTGAAACCTTTGCCGCCTAATGATTTCTAATAAGCACTAACCTGTCACTCACCCAATAGCCCATTGATCATTTCTTATTTATTAGGTAAATGCAGAATAATTTTGCTTTAGTTCTGTTTGTACCTGTTTGCAAAGTGTTGGTAGCGGCACTTTGACGAATTGCAGAGGATCGACGGGCAGGGATTTTGAGGCGGGCGACGCCAATGTCTTAATGAGGGGCGTGGGTGGTGAGGGTGGTGATCCTAGCCCTTCGCTCCCGCTGCCACTCGATGACGAGACCCCACCTATACTCCTAACAGAGTCGTACTCGTCGCGGGCTAGCTGATAGTCAACTACCTGTCATTGTAATCACGTAACGGCCAGCGTACATCAGACCAGGATCAAGGGCAGCAGTGGCACCGAGCAAGTTGCAGCAACAGGATCGATCGCATATCGAGAGATGCAGGCCACAAAGCCAAGGACAGAAAATGAGATAGAAGGAAGAAATAGAACAAGAGAGTCGATGAGGAATAGAACAGTACACATATATGCATATATATATATATATATATATCCGTGTCATGCAAGAAGGATCCTAGTTGGTTTAGCGATTATTACATCAACTATCGTTTCCGTTCACTACAAGGCTCTACCAGCGAGGGAATAAAGAGATCAACACAACAGCATTCAATGAATATTTATTATATACAGACAATGTACGGAATATAATAAATAGTATACATTGTTGTGTTTTCGCCTGATCCCTGTTTCGTCTGATCGCCTTTACAGGTAGTCTATTTTATGCGAAAGAAACATACCGAGTCATGCAACAAACAACTCACAATTATTAACATGCTAAAAGATATTCTTTACTCAACCGCCATCAATTTAGAATTTACGGTTCGCGTATCACAAAATGGAATTTTTTTACAATATACTTCAGCTTTTTGCTACGCGTGTCCTTTGTTAGGATTCGATGAAACGATAACCTTCGTGTGGGAACAAAGAAACAGTAGATAGCGCTATTAAATGAAACTATCTTTTTTATTGCCTATGTCAAATTTTTCCCATATCATACGAGCTTAACTTTAACAACCTAGGGAGCATCTCTTTATTAAAGGTAATATCATTTTTACCATATAAATAAACTGATATGAATTAGTGGAAACTAGTATAAAAGAGGGTTATGTTTGTGTTTTTTTAGCATTTTCACAAGCTACCCTATTCAATGTGACCGATGATTGGAGTTACCGGTATTCGGCAAGCTGGTGCTCTACAAACTTAGTTACTATCAATCCATCTTCTCCAATATGTTGTGATTACCCTGTATTCATAAACAGGCGCTACGAAGACGGCAATTTCTAAGTAATGCACATGTATATATACATCCATAACGATGTATGCGCGCGTGTGTTGTGAGTGTGTGTGTGTGTGTGTGTGTGTGTGCGTGTGTGTGTGCGTGTCTGTGTATGTGTTTGTGTGTGTCCGTGCGTGCGTGCGTGCGTGTATGCATGAACGCCAACCTGTGGTCTTGATGTCGCACTGTCCTCGGTGTTCCTGTCATCGTACCCTCGAATGGTGACAATAGGCTTGTTGTTCTCTTTAGTGGCGGAAGCAGTTTTCTGTTCTGACGGTAACGTCGATGGCGCATCGTCGCGGTATGGGCTCTTGTAGGTGGCCGAGTAACGTAACCCGGCCCCCGGCATCTCCGTTGTCTACCACGATGGTTGCCCTCCGCAAGGAGGTCGCCCGATAGTGGCAAAACCAGACGATGGAACAAGGTGTTTGCACACCGCTCGCTAGATGGCGCACTTAACGCATTACGAAACGATTTTGCCTGTAAAAAAAGAGTAGTACCTTATCATCAAATGCCTTTTACTTTATCTAAAAAATAAGCCGTCTACACTATAATACATCTTCGGTTTGTTTAGACAGGTTATATCCTAATGATGCTCACTACGAAACAACTTTCAGTAGCTTTTGTTCTGCATGACGATACCATTGTGTCGTACCATTGTATTAAATGTAAATTTCGCGACCAGAAGATCTTTATAAGGATAGCTTTTGTACAACACAGTGCTCTGTTTACGTGCTAACTGCTTTCGACTAAGAAATTTCATTAAATACCTTCGTAAAAGGGTAGCGAGTAGTACCTAATACTCTGATACCAAGTAAGGCTTAACATCCATTTATCTGGTCGGTCACGTTGACACATATCTCTGGATTAGCTAACCTGTTGGCAATTGACAAGGCTCTACGTACCTCTGAGGCAATCAAAATAAGTGTTGCGCCGACCCGCTAATTTATCTGGTTAGTACTGAACTACTGCGACGGATAAAAAGGCCATGTCAGCCGAGGTGACTGGGCGAATACAATAAGCACTAATTATTAGATATAATATGCATTAAATTGTATTGTTCACGCAAAGGGAGAAGATTTTAACACGTATTCTGGAATTTTCTGATTACCTCAGAAACGGCGCACTATCGTTACGTATTGTCCGATGTGTACCGTGTATTTCTGAGACACCAGATCATCCAAAAGCAGACATTCTCGACTGCAATACTAATTCGATTTAACAGCAACCTACGATTGATTATTCGGAAAGCTACGTGTTTGATGCCAAATAATTTTATGCTATTTCTACTTTTCATTTCCCCCTCTTGTGCAACTGGCAACTCAGAAAGCTGTGTGTGCTTGCAGGTCGTCTCTACAAATATCGAGGAACGCTCTACTAACAAAAAGAAAGCGCACGCAGTCGACATATCACTGGAATATTATGTATACGCGATTTATCTTTCTTTTTTTTCTACGAGAATTTTTTTTACCCCACTTTTACGACTGCTACTGACAGATATCTGGCCACGCTGCCTCGACGAGGGGTCACCACCAAACAGTCAACAATGTTGGCACACTTTGCTATATTATGGACATTGTCTACTAGACCATCAATGTCAACATGATCTTCTTTCTTCGTGTCACAGAAATACACATATTTATATAAAGAAACAGCGCGAATGATACGAACAGACATAGGCATGCGGACGCACCACGTACCCTGGCTAGTCTACAGTTAGAGAGTGATACCTAGATGTGAGAATGGAAAAACACAAGCAGTCAAGTTGGCGGGAAAAGTTGGCAATGGCACAAATATGGTGGGGGTTTCCATTATTTTTATTATCGTCACTAGCACTTTTTCGACGACTCCATCGAATGAGCGCTTTTTTACCAAATAACCCTTACCAAATAACTTATCGTCCGTAGCAGCAACACCAACAACATCCATAGTAGAAGTAACGGTAAAAAGGCGTTAACATCCACTGCAAAAGTCAAGGAAACGGTCCTATAATTCTTCACAGCTATAACGAAATACTCAAACACAAACTTTCCTGCTGCCTCGTTATGGCTGCATTTTCTTCACTGTTGTCTTCGTCGTTCACCATCGCCAACGGATCATTGAGTTCGATACCACGTAGCGTTATGCCGAGCTTCCTCTTCACTGTTCATGTCACTCCATTTCTGTTCGTAGCCGGGTTGGTCTGCCCCATTCATATGAGCTTGGTCTGTTTTGACGCAAAGAAAGCAACAACCATTGTCGAAGGCACCGACAGCTGAGGCGTGCCACAGTACGGCAGAGATATTATGTCTCGGTTGAGAAATCGACAAGGGCAAAAGGAATCGACTTCTTCTGCAGTCCGGCTGGATTAAATGGCTATGTTCAACGTTCTGAAAGGATGACTTTAGCCATCGTACGGGAAGCAACACTTCTACATCTGGACAAAAGCAGCTTGACGCTGACTCTATGAGTGACCCATCGGGAAAGCTAAAAAATCGTGGAACCAAAGCAAACGCACGAAAGACAACAAAAAGCTCCAGATCATAAGCTGTTTTGCGGTTGCTACGGGACATAATAGAGGGCGCAAAAAAGAGACGGGACCGGCAGAAATACCTAGTAATAACGGTGATCGATTTAATAAATGAATGAGGAATTGACGAACGAATGAGTATGCCGAATTACAGGATAACATCACAATACGATTGTCAGTGCAATCATTATCCTCGTTGTGATCACCGGGCTCATTTGTATTGACAAAAAGTAAGCCCCACTGATAACGACAGGACCGACAATTTTACCGCGCGAAAGCAAATTGCTGCTGAACATCAACAGAACATATTACACTTCTGCTACTCCTTCTGCTGAGAAAAAAAAATTGCGGATAAGCCGCCGGAAATATTTAGGGCGTTGCAGAAGTAATGTCGATAGATAGATTGCAACAATGAGTGACGGCGGAGATGACGACGATGCAAAACAATGACGCCATTCACAGTATGGCAAAATGTCACCGCTTTGACTTCGGCGAAAGCGTTAGTATTAAAAAAGTTAGGACTTAAGAGCGAAGGTTGATGACGAATTTGATTCTATTCGGCAGGTTCCACTATAACCACTTTAAATACTATTATATATATATATATATATATATATATCATTATGCATATATATAGGTGTTATATTTAAACAAACTTTGGCGGGTTCTTTATCGTAGCGGGCATGCGTTCACCCATTATTTTTGGTGCCAAATATTCGTTCTAGAACAAAGTAACACATTTGTCAAAATGAAAAGAAGGGCATCGGTTTCGGACTTTGGGCGAAAGTGAGTTCTTATCCAGTGTATTCGGGCAGGACGAGTCCCCCGCCATAAAAAACCTTGGACGAGCCAAAATTTTACGACATATTAAATGTGTATGCAACTGCTAATGAGGCAATGCTCAGCTAAGTACAAGGGAAAATTTACGACGAAAGAGAAAAAACAGTGCGCACTTCGGAGTTGAATCAGGCCGGTCAGAAAAGCATTTCTGACGATCCTTCTGCTGTGATAAGGACGTTAGCAAAGAAATTTAATGGTGAAAAAAACACAGCGTGTTTTGGACTGCTCACTAGGGTTTCAGCTACACGTCAGTTACCGAGCCAGGCAGATACTCTCTGAGGGCAATAAAAACAAGAGTTTTATTGGTTTCGTTTGCTCTTCAATTCTCTTTAGAGGGAAATATCAAGTCGTTTGAAGACGTCGTGTCATCACACATCTTCTAAAAAGGTGAATGTATTATTAAAAAAAAGTTTTTGAAACCGTGGAAAATTGAAAGGTCTGAAGGAAGACCATATATCTTCCACCGACATGGTTGCTATGACGATTATTATTTTTTAGGCCACTACAGAAAGACTTTTGCATTCTTACTTAGGGCTTTTAGATAGATAGAGATATATATATATAAATCTACACCCGAATGAGCAAGTCGAGCTCTTTTAGCTAACCTAGGCAGTAGTTTAATATAAATAATAAAATTACGGTTATCATAGCATATCGTCAGAAACAACGCCGCAGGGCGACAGCACTAAAGTAAACAGTGTTTCTACTTACTTCCTGTGAAACCTTTTTTTCTTGGGTTTTTGCTTATTTCCGAGTGATCAAATATGAAGCATATTACCACTGCAATTATTTCTATACGCGGTACGTACTACTAGACATAATCAAAACATCTACAATAGATTCTACTTCATCTGATTTTTTTCTTCTGCTTCCTTTCCCTATTACACTGCGGTAAACTTTTGCCACTTGTCTTCTTTTTGCGTTCTATGACTGTAGTTTCAATTATATTACCCTTTTGTCATAGTGTCTGTGTGGTGCTCTTCCGCCACTTTTTGTCGGGTCCTTTATCCACTCGTGCGCATCTCATCCGATGCGATGGTAACATACAGATAGGTCAGCGAGACCCCTACGCTGGCTGATGCCACTATTATAACAAAGTACCCGCCTACGATTAATTACACCCTGTCATTTGGTCCGCTGCCGTTCGCTCGCTCGCTCGTACCGCCGTCGTCTAGCTTTCTATTAACTATAATAGACGACTATTATAGTTAATTATATGATATGATGTCTATCAGGTACCGATGCCAAGTGCCGCCTCTTAATCACTTCCGCCATCAGTGTACGTTAATGACGGTACCGTATAAGCGTTTCATATATTCGATAGCATTATCCGTTCGTATCGGTACCGTCGCTCCGTTTTACCAAATGACTTTGGAGTTCACTTGTGTCGTTTGTGTTCACTGTTACTTTCCAACAACGATATTACTAGTACAACTGTTTCCTACTGCGGACTACGCGGAAAAATAGTAAGATGCTGGGCGATGGGTATTACTATTATTGCCCACCGACCTGTCTAAAGGGTTATGACGGGGTCGCTTATTCTCCCACCGCTGATCTTCACATGCATAGCGTAGTTATGGGAGCACCCAGTAACACCGTCTACCATGACTTAAATATATCATTTCGTCTTAGCTATATTATGATAAATTGGTAATATATTCAACAATTATGATAACTGTAACAACGGCCCGCCTGTCTGCTTGAAAGCCTGCAAGGTTCTATATGGCTGACTGGGTGCTATTTAGCGTTATCTAGTCGTTTAGCGAGTCTTTAGACATCATGGTTTTCATGGACATCATTGGCATTGGCAACAACGAGGAAATCCGGGATTTAATGGATTGCCTTCCCACCCTATGATACTTCACGTTCAAGAAGCGAATGTTAAGAGAAAGAACATGGAGCGTAGACATAGACATAACAAGCAGAAGATAGAAAATCGAATATCACAATAGGCGATCATTTGATAGGCGACGAGACAAAAGCGCAATAATGTACACTTCATCGATATCCACACTGACGACACTAGTGATAGACAATGGCTGTTGCTACGGGTAGATAGGTGGCGGCTGATATAGTGTGGACCCATGTCGAAATTGTACATACGACACATAACGCAAATTCGGTAAGATGAAGATCGTTCATGCCGTCTGCTGCGACACTTGCGGAACGACGCGTCGTCAGCCGACGCGTTGTTCCGAACGAATTGTGCAATGGTTTCGCGTCGAAGTGAAAAGGTCCCCTGACTATTTAACGCGGTTACGCACTGCTACAAGCTGATGTCTTCAAAAAATATAACTAAATTGTGCCGTACGACCTATTCAGCCATTCATAAACGGTATGTTGCGCGAGTAACGGCTTTATGTCAATCCATAGGAATATACGCGTGATACATATGTGTGTAACCCTATACTCGCAACTATAAGTGGGCGAGGCCCGTTCCCGTTCTTATCCGCCGCGTCTACCTCTATCCTATGGAACATTAAGCCATACGTGCGTATTCATCGACACTGTCGCTGCTCTAAGGATTAAAACATTACAAGCAAATATTAACTTCGCGTTCTTTTTTAAGCTTATTTTTATTCCCGATTGCTCTATCTACGTATTGCCGTTTGTTTCTTCACGATCAACTCTTGTTGTTTCACATATCAGAACAGAATGATATCGACGCCGCCCAGACAATCGTTCGGCTGCCACTGCTTCCACGTAGCATGTCTCCGAGCTGTGTTCGGCGAAGCTTCTATTGGCTCCCGTTGTTGCATCGGAAATAAGTAACCGGGCCGACTGCCGACTCAGATCTCATGCCATCGGAAGATGGCTGCTCCTCCTTAAACGATGGTAAGGGGGAACGGATCGCATCTGATACAACAAAGCAAAAGTCTTTGTAGAATATAATCCACAATTTACATGTCTGTCATTTATGCATCCGTTCATTGATGTATTATTTAATGAGAATTTATTTGTACACACGTTCCGCCCAAATAATTTATAGCCATAGCAAATGATCGGTTGAAGACTCGGACTGACAGGTAGACATTCGGACAAAGAGATACATATCGAAAGTACACAGGTAGAGAAACCGAACGAACGGTAGCAAGGAACGTTTACGATGGACAAACTAAAGGAACCAACTAAAAGAGACAGCTGTTTGCTATAGCACATCGATGTCCTATCGCTCGATGCTGTTCTGCAGTAGTGTACAGAAGAAGTGGAAGTAAAAGTAACCGTAGTTGTCTTATGGCGGAAGTTGATGTTATGGCGGAAGGTTGTATAATAGTCTAACAACAGGTCTTCGCCCAGCCAGCGACAGTTAATTTCGGCCCGAATCCGACAGCCGCATACCGCTGCCATTGCTGTCTCTGACGCTTTGGCTAACAGCGGCAGCCGCAGTGGCTGAGGTCCGGACCAGTGAAGGAGCAGCACTAATAACATCCGAAAGTCTTCACTGCTGCCTCGGTTACTATAAGAGCATACGCGAATGGATTCGTTCCTCAATAAGTATTTGTTATAACAAATACAAAGATACAACGTCCACTTTATAAACGTTATAGTTTACTATCCTGTGGCGCTGCTCTTGGCGGTAATCTATTCTAGTGGTGATTATGTCGTCGCCGCCGCTGCTGCCGCAAGGAAAACCAGTGCATCCTGAACGCTGCATATTTGCTTAGGTTTCTTTCAGCACCGCTTTTAGTTTTGCGCTTATGCGGTGCAAAGCCGGTGACAACTGGCTGTCGGAGGAAAATACTAGAAAAGCTGAAGCTTCGAAGACACCGAAACTCTAAACAACGAAGACAGAGCTGCTCTATTCTATCTACCGCTGCCGTCATTATCACCAAACTGCGCTATTAAATTGCAACGGAGAAAATGTCATTGTACACAAACAGCTACAGAGATCAGCTCATAAGACTAACAAGCCAGCAATCGATAACGTCGGAAGTAACCTTCTCTCACGTTCAAATCCACCCTACTGCCTAATTTTTTCGTTCGATCCGTTTGGCGAACGACAGGCACCACACGAGTGTGGTCAGCTAAAGCACGCAAGGGACGAGATAACACTTGCGACTGCCCAAGCAACTAGTGCTACGTTCTGCTATAGGTGGACACCGTGTCCAACTTCGTCCGGATCATTGTCCATGGCTGAACTAGGCTTCCGCCAAACCCCAGCTTCGTCGAACCCCGGATCAAAACCCTTCTTCAGCGTAGCATGATCGCATTAGGGGTGTACGTGTGACGTCCGCATATCTCATTTGGTTGTACGTCGCCTCGCCCAGTCGCTAACCGCATATCACTGCTGCCTATTCGGTTATGGTTGGAGACAGGGCCCGCATTCCGCCTACGGCGCTGCGGACAGATCCATGAACAGATAGTCAGCTTTTTTTTTATTTGTCGTTCTAAACAAGGGCACTTCAACGTCACAGACTGCACTACTACAACAGCTGCGGAGTGCTAATAAGCCCAATGGATTGACAAATCAAGCTAGCTAGAACGTTAAGTAAAATGATGGCATTTCGTGAATAAGCGTCACGAGCAGCTTCCTTGTTCGTCCCAACGCTGGAAACAAGTACGATCAAATTTTGTTCAACTTAGCTTCGCAGATATGCTCTACACACAGGTTGGTGACAATTCTCCAGTAACTTACCCTCTTCTATGGTGACGCTGACAACTATGCTCAGTTAGCGTTCATTATAGCTAGAGCCAAATGTAATGTTATGCTGAAGTAGAGATGGAGAATAACAGATATTGACAATTAAGTGTTAAATAACAAAAATGGGGTTCAACGAGTGACGGGGCGTTAATACGTAGCATAGAACTTATGCTTGTTATCTCAAGAAACACTAATACAAACGAAGGTTTACACACGATCCTTGTTTCAAGCAAGAATCACTCTACCGGTTTCGAATAGTTTTTCAGTTATTATTTTTTCTCTTCTATCTAATAATAGTACTTCAGTCTAGCAATGATCACGCCAGCCAACCATCAATGATACGAATTCACAAAACCGACTGCCAGCGTTTAATAGCGCACATAAATCCAGGACGAAAAATATCCGTCGATGAATGTGTGCGAAATACGTAAGATCAGTGTTCGTACCATTGAACTGATGCAAACACGATAACGCCGTAACTTAATCGTCATCAACTTCTAGTGATTGCGGTGATTGGATGTGGATAGCTTCCCTGTCAAATCGATGTCAGATAAACAAGCATTATCTGTTGTCCCAGAAACAACGTTTTAAGCAACAAACAATAAGAGTCTACTGTAATGTTTCACCTTATAGTGAGTGGACTGATACAAAACGAGTGCGGGCTCTCCACGAGGCGCAATCATACGTAGTAAGCAAATTACCGCACACGAAACTATTCTCTATTCATCTAACATAACTTTTCGGCCCATTAGTTGTTCAGTGTCGTGCAAATCTGGCCTTCTGTGACAATGGCAGGTGTCTGCGGAATACGACATACCTCTTAACCCAGTTTTTCGATAATTCGATTGTACAGTTAGCCCACTTATTTGCATCCGATGAGCCAGGATCCGACGATGAGACTAACCGTGTCTGTGTTATAATAACTGCTTTTGAGTCTGACTCATTGAGAAGCATCGCTAGCGAAGCGTCATTTTTTTCGTTCTTCGGTTCACTAGAACCTAGTTACACGATCAACGTTGATGGACCTGGGTTTTCGTACGAAAGAAATTAGTCGGTATCGTATTTAATATTGTCGACAACAAGGACCATAACAGCAGCTATCGTCGGTACTACGTCCCGGTCGACTTACTGCAATTTGTCATACCGCTTACAATTGTTTCGTCACGTTGTTCTCCCCGCTTTGTTCCCTTTCGTCGCCCCTCTGTCGTCAGCTTCCAGCTTCAGAGCACGATTTGGTGCTCACTTATATAGCTACGAAACAATCGAACCAGACGATACTGAACCAAGACGTCTGCGGCGTTTTTTTCGCGGCTACCTTACAACTTCGTTCGATACATATATATGCGCCTGCAAAATGTGTAAAAGTAGCATCCCGATAGACTGGCCGTAGGGAAAAGCGACGACGAGGAATATCAGAGGACCGTGCCGTCTTGTAGTTCGTAATACGACAAGCGAGTACAGAGGCATATTATGCATATATAGTCGCTAGTAAAACATCGTCTGCTGGCTCCATCTCATTGGTACCTTTCAGGAAACGAAACGTGCTGTAGGTGTGCATGCACAAGTATGTCTATACTATACATTGGACGCAGCAGCGATGTTTCCTTTTTCAAAGCCCTTTCTCTGCCAGATCGCTCTGTCACCATTGTCATTACCATAGCGGTGGCTTCAATGGGTCAGTTTTCTCGTCTGTCCTGACAGCCAGCGAACGTTAGCAGTCAACCGATAATCAAACGGCAACACCCTTTGAATTATACGGCGCTAGCTTCTCAATTAGTGAGAAAAAGTCCAGTATCACATTCTACTTATGCTCATGTCTTATCAAATTGGCCAGCATCTTATACAAAAACGAGTAAATCAACTAATACAATTTACGATAGTTGAGCTGCGGTTAGTGTCACTAGGCGTTATGTGCTAGTTACGTTTGTCAGCACCGTTACGACGTAATGACCCGAAATTTGTCCGTCCGCAGTAGACCCGACGGCCGATGAGTTGGCGAGGGTTAATTATTCGTATCGTTGGACGAACAGTAACAGACTGGTTCCCCTAACTTGCATGTTACTGGACCCATTAAGCGGGCAGTATAAGGCCATATTATCTATCAAGTGCTTCTGAATAAATTATACGTTGATCTATTTATTTCAGACTGATACAGTGATGCATTGGCTAACGTCACTATGAAAAGGGTAAGCACTCGTGTCTGAACTCGTTCTTCAATGAAACGTAATGAACTCGTTGTCGATATTCCTCTGTTCGTCTTTAAATTTGATAACGTTACAAACATACGATGCTTCAATCTAGCGATTCCTGCTAGAGACTAGTACCAATCCGTCCAATTGCAGCTCGTTAAATCTGCGCTTTTTTCACGCTGCGAGGCTTGTCCTAAGTAAACGGGACACTCTGGATCAATAGCATCATTAACATGTTAGGTTCAGGGCCAACCAATCGCCTGTTTCGTCAAACGTTGGGACAGTGTCAAGTACTGTCCAATATTACTGTGGACGACACGATTTACGCTCATGTTGCTATTACAAACGCGCCAGGCCACTATACTAGGACTGAACTTCAGGCCAGTCATTTATTTGCCATTTTTGACTAAATCTAAACAACTGGAACGGGCTAGTTACCACCTGATTAGCATGAAAGTACCCACCAACGAATGTGCTAGACGGTCTCTTGCTAAAAAGCGTTAATATCGAAAACAACATCCGATGACCGTAAAGAAAGAGGTAGACTCCTGTAGTCATCTGAGTTGTCTAAGAAGGCTCGCTTCCCTCTGTACAATTTAACACAAGACCGCCCTACTTTATAGAGTGCAATATAATGCAATCAGGATACGGTTTGCCTTTATCATTTGGAAGCCTTATCTAACTTGTTCCTTGTCGCTAACTTCAGTTCTATTGGCGTGATGTTACACGTTACTTCGTATGAGTCCAAGTACGTCAGGTAGACTAGTTTTACCCGTACAAAATAAGTAGGTGTAAATTGGGCTGGGATGATTCTGCTCCTGAAAATACAATAGTGAAATTTATGTAATACTGCCAGGTGACAAAACCATACAGGGGATATCATTTCGTCCGACGAACAAACCCACAGACGCGTAAATACAAAGGGGATTTTGGCAAGGTGACAATTAGGCCGCTGTTTTTCGAACGATTGAAAAGGCTGTGATTAACACATATTTTGCCTAATATGGCAATATATATATAGTATAAATTATAATACACAGTGTTAATAATTCACGTCTTTCCTCCACAGACAGTTTTTATCACGCATGTATCGGCGATCGCAAATATAAATAGTGTTCTGCAGCATACGATCATTGTACTTTGATTGAGCGGACAAGTTATTTTCTTTTTCTTAAAATATTTCCTTTTGTCCTGTTTAGTTTTGTGGTGCAATTATTACATGTCGCATAGCGTTGTTGGCCACGAAGAATTATTAATTCTATTAATAATTATTAATTCGTTTTCCACTAATGACGATTGGCTATTATTCCCTGCCATTTAGGCTTGCCGTTCTTCTCGTGTGGAGAATATGAAGATTCCGATATGAAGCCACAGATTGAGCACAGTTGAGTCTATAGAGAATTAGGTGACGACGGTCAATCAATCCGTTGGATTGTTTATCCAATGCAGACACGGTTAGGTATCTGACGAGGTATCGCCATATTGAAGAGATCAGAAGCTCTGTTGGCCGCAAACATACAGTCATACAAAGGCAGGTACCTAAAGATTAGTGGATTAGGACCATGAGCTTGTTTTTTAGGCCGCGAATGCGCGCTATATAATTGAAGCGCGATTCAAGTGGTTGATTTTGGCTAGACAATCATCCTGCGCATCTGAAGCTAGCAGGCGGTAACAGATTGAGTCTGATTGTTTTGGCTGGCCAGCACATTTGTTATCAATAATCACTAATTTTAGCGTTACCTACTTTGTTGTTCGTACTAAAACTCCTGTACGTAGTCCAGTATGGCTTAAATCATAGCCGCTCACGCCAATTATCTCGAAAGCACGATATGTGTTTCGTTTTTTCAACGTTACATCAAACAATACACAGTATATAAAATAAAATAGTGTTTGTGTACTCTCAAAAATACTACAGTCACCACTACTAAGAAATTAGCATAAAAAAAAATGCAAAAATCGCTGCTTATTACCCATCGTGCATTGGATCCTCAACAAAACAAAACATTGTCAACTTTTTTTCGTTAGGTGTCTATATAAAACAGCGTCCGGAGTACGATCAAGTGTTTTTGTGTAGATCTTATGCGGCTGTATCCGGTTTACACTTATGAAAGTCAGAAGACAGCCTGACGACACATTGTACAATCGTAACTTGAGTTATTTTCGGAGCGGGAGACCTATAACAAAAATACCAATAGTCAATAATCTTAGCAGACATTGATCCCTAACGTTTTGCTAATTCAGCGTTGCTTTATATATATATATATATATAAGATATAATATATATATTAAATCCCAAAGTAACGTTCAATTCGATTGAAGTATAGGACATTTATTCACCTAATCAGATATAAACGGAAATAATTAAGCTTATTCCCTTAAAATCAAGCGCAACGTGTCCGCCTGGTCGGACACATTGCGCTTGATCTGACCACGGTATGTAATTATTTGCTATACGGTTAATGGGTAGTAAACATTGATGCGATACTCTTTTTTTATTCTTTCACAAACCAAGCAGTGGTCGTCGTCCCTACTGGTAATGGCAGTTGAAACATTTCATTCTAATATAGAAATGATGATGGTCTGTTTCTAAACTTTATTTTTTCTACGTTCTTCACGTAAAATTTTCGGAATGCTGTCTTACGCAATATGTCTACAAACGCGTCTGTATGTCGCTTTTATAAATGTCTTAGCAAAATTTTTGGCCAAGCCAATTCATGGGCTAGGGGATGATTGAGTATTTGGGTTCCGTAAAAAGCAATTACGAGTATTAGGCGAAGCTTTTAGCGGTCTCAAGGTCTGAATCAATGAGCATGCTAATGGGTTTCGTCAATAAAAAAACTAAATGCAGTAACAAACTATGTTAAGTTACGACAACTTACTAGATAGTTATGATTAGCGCATGAGGCCTTTATGAATTTCAGCAACATTGACAGCCTTTTATTGGTAGCGACAACAACTGTCAGTGCAGTGTCAACGATGATGATGCGAGTGAAACTAGCTTGACAGCATGCCAACAAGAAGCAGGTAAACAACAATGACAACAGTGACGACGGCAACATGACTGATAGGCCGACAGCGATCGAAAGACATAGTCCTGATTGCATTTGTCACAGTCGAGTCAGTTGCGAAGAGCCTAACCTCAACAGGACGATGAGAAGAGGGGGCAGTTCTAGCAGTAAGTAAATAATAATACAACTTATTATTGTGTGTCTAATATATCGCTCTATGTGTGCGCTGTGAATGGAAGAAATCACAGGCTTGCAACGTTGTCCATGGCTAATGCTGCCGCCGTTGACATCGTCCGAATTACTGGACGCTACAACCGATATGCCGGCGAACAGAAGGACCAAGTAACCCTCGGACCCCGACACCCCAACAGGCCGAAACGACAACAACAGTGAGACTTAGTGCTGTGTTAACAAGCATTATTAGCAGGTCGTGTAGCTGGAAACACTATCTTCTTTTGGGCACTCATCTGAAACAGTAGGAGCAAAAGCAGCTGATAGAAACTCGTTCATGGTAACGCTATGCCGCGTTAGAAGGGGCAACAAGCAACGGATAAAAACAATATCGTATTCTAACATTAGTTATTTGTTGTTTTTTCTATTCAGGTAGAGGGATCTCAAACGATCTGGGTCAGTTAAGAAGTCACTGTATTTTATCATATGTACAACGACGACGAGAACAACATCTAAACTCAGCTAGCATATACAGTTGCTTGTTCCTACCTGCAAAGATTCATATTTGCTGGGTACAATGTATAAATACCATTCATGAACCATAATAGACAGTACTCTTCTCTACCTCGGGATTGTATTCGTTAACGATCACCTAGTAATGAATTAGATAACGAATGGCGGGTCACGCAAGTCCCCCTGTTCACAAGTAACCCCCCAGTAAGCAAATATCTGTCGACATCTAGAAATGCATTTGTCATAACCTCAGTGTAATGAAACAGATATTTATTCGTACGTGCGTACGAGGCGCATACACGAATACCTGCACGAGGGGGGGGGGGGGTGAACGCATATAAAAACATAATCGCGTCAAGCATGCTTCTATTTGGCTCAAGACTTTATGGACACGGACTGAATATTATTGATGATTGTCTGTAGCTGAGTTTGTGAAACACATAGAGCAGTATGATTCTGATCTTCTTGCTCGAATTTCACAAGGCGACGCAGCTTTTTTGTCGATCTGATACTTTGCGGTTACCCTATCAGTGCAATGGTGTGTGTTTCATTGTGAAGCTACAGAGCGTCGTATTTTATTGAAAGGGCGCTGAGTATGTTTCCTATACGTTGTTCGCTATCGCTATAGATAAAACTATCGTCTTAAATACAAAATCCCTTGTATACTGAACTTTCCACCAAAAACTAGAGAAAAAAATGTGACGAGTTAATTTCTGATGCTTTAGCTGTCCGATCAATCAGTTCTGTCTGCCAGATATTGGTCCGATAAGTTTGCATTATTGGCTCGTCATTGGCACAATGCCAGGAGCGATGGATTCTATAGCGTACATGGCAGCGTACGGTCTCAACGCTTACGCGTAACTCTTCACCAACAAAATACCCAGGGGCATCTACAACAGTAGTGAAGTTAAAGCTATTTTCTCGTCGGCCGAAGTGCAAATGTCGACATACATCGTAAATTAACTGTTTGTATTTTTCGTTCGCAATCGTTACGACGATGAGACGCAACGCAACGCAACGCAACGACAAACAAACAAGCAACCAACCAGCCAGCACAACAACGAAAGCAACGCGGTGGATTCCTGCCGCCACCTCCGTCGCCACCATCACCGGTTTCAAAAGCGGGTTGCAACATGCATAACATCGTGTATGTTTACACCTAACAGACTTCGGTGCACGGTATATGGGGCACAGAGAAAAATCTACGGCCACATACATATGCTATCGCATACTGTAAAGTGTACCTTACTGATGCGTACGATTCTGACAGATTTCGATGCTTTTCTATCACTTTGAGAAGCCAATAGAATAACAGCAGCAACGGCAAAAATTAAGCAACATTATCAGAGCCGCCGTTGATTGAAGGACTTTTTGCTCGTTGGTAATCACTACTTTACTATAGCCATAATAGAAACGACTATTCTACCGAATACATTTATTTTCTGTTCCATTCATCACTTCGACGGTCCTTCGTAGACCCTCTTTTCTATTTTGATATATTTGCCCCACTTCTTTTGTGTTACGTTTCATGTATGACATACATTCATGCATCTGGTATATTGCAACGAACATGGGTGGAAAATCAGCTTTCCAGCAACGTTTGATTCGTGGACGCTACGTCAAATCGGCCTGAGGAGTGTCCGTATTATTTTACGTGTGCACTGTTGATAAACTGTATGTACACAAATGTACAGGCACACTAACTATGGCACGTGCTCTAAATGCGCTTTACGTATACGTTTCTGCTATCAGTCTGTCGCTTGCCAAACCTGAACGCTGCTAATTCATCGCCAACTGTGGCTTCCGTACTTGATGCGCATGAGGGCGCCGCGTTCGGAGTGATACAACAAGCGATACGCAATACACCGATAGGCCAAATATCGCCGACGACAACCATTATTCAACCGCTATGTATTTATCTCTATAGCGATAGATGATGTATCTGCGATTTATCAACAATTACTAGGCCGGATTTTGGGAGTGAAACGATACCGACAACCGTATTTGTTGACAGCCCTTCGCTTCATAATAGCCAAACAAATACGGATTATATATAGGGTTATTAGTTTCAGAATTGCAAGTATATATATATATAAGATAGGCTCGTAGGCCTTGTATTATTTGCGTTTTGCCGCTGATTCAATTTACCGATCTGGCTCAATCAGGCTGTACATTCAACCTCATCTCTATTATAGCCACAGCCATTTTGAATGCACGAAACCTGACCGAATATACAGTAATCTGAAGGACGGCATATCTCTATGTCGTCCTTGCTTTTCATACATATCCCTGGCATTTTTTAGCAGTTGGAGGTTCTAAATTTCCTCTCCGAACAGAAAGTATCCATCCAGTCAGCCCAATGTCACCCGGGAAACCTGTCTACGATAGAGCTATACCACCTAGGAATTTGTAGCGACCGCTATATGTCGGCGATTTGAGTCGAACAGAGAGACACTAATTTTTGATCTTACATATATATATGTTCGGGATAAATTCAAGCAGCAATAATGCCTCATAGTCTGCAGGGTAATGAAATAGGGTTTGTGGCTGGCATTCTTTGGCACACGAGACATCCCTGAAGCTAAATGCGCCAATACTATTACATCGATATTCGCTTACTCCAGTTTCATCTCCCTCTATACATGGTAATGTAAAACATTCTCTCGACCTTGATTTTCTTAGGGAGCTAAGTTTGTGTCTAACTTCGATGGCATACCGGAAATTTTCCTGGAAAATTCGAGCCGCTACATCTATCACCGCGCCGTGTTTAATTCTGCTGCCAAGACGCGAATGCCAGAATCGATAAAGCGTCGATTTTACATCGTTCCAGCTAGCATGGATTCCGTGCAGCCGGTTCTTCCCATATCGCTGCAGTGTTTGGTCACGTTTTTCGATCTTTTCGGCAGCCGCGTAACCAGTCGTATTGCGCTAGGTCGTCGATTTCGGGTAAGTTAAGAAGTTCATAGCTTCGATGGGATTCGTCCAACGCGGAATCACCGACAAGAACTTATTTTTGTCTTATGCTAAATCTAAACACCCTACGTACCCCATGATGACCTCGCAACTTCGTCGGAGTAAGAAGTGGCTTTTCCGGTACTAATGATATGACCTAAAATCATGCTCGTTGCGATTAGTAGTCCGCCGGAGTCTGTCCTAGTTTATCCCAAACACACTGTATGCGCATATAGTCGATGCAACAGAGGGAACAACGTGATAAGGACGAGGCTGGAAGGGTTGCTATCGATCACGGAGAAAAACTATCATTCATTGATTCCGACTTTTTCCCCACTACTGTGCTATCATATCGGATCGTAATTGATGATGCCAATAGGAGAATAATGATAATAAATAATGATATCCCCCCAAAGGGACCAACGATCCTTGGTTTGATAAAAATAAAAATAACTGCTTTGTTCCGCTACGTGTGTTATTATTTAGCTAATTCGAAATCAGTCACGAAATCAGACGCTGACGGGTAAATAAATAGTTGAAGTGAGTGATAGAAATGGCGCTTCATTAATTTGTTTGCGTCTGTTTTATTCGCGTCTTTTTTTTTATACAAATTATGCTGGATCTCGGAGAATTTAATGAAATATAATATAACCGACAGTGTAGGCGTCCGCTTGCAATGTGTGAGGGTCAGTACCTTCATGATTACCTTTTATAATCAGTATAGTTAAAATTTTTACTGAACTTAAAAAGGTTTTAGATAATCCGTTGATTCGTGCTATATATTAGCAGAAATATGTTTACCTGTACATCTTCTGTGAATTAATACTCACTTTGCTGTATAAATGTTCGGTTGAAGAACAAAGAAAATCGTGGAGAATTCGTTGTAAAGAAGTTGTCAGCAACAGAGAAAAATACAGTTCTTCATCAGAGGCAGCAAAAGGTGAGCAAATACTACTTGTTCAACGTTGTTAATCATTATGATGTTAGGCTTACTTATTTTAACAAGGAAAACGCTCACCATGTGCCTGTTGAAAGCGTCGCCTGTTCCTTTTCTCACGAAAAGCGTGACAAGGCCAAAAGACAACGTTGACAATAACAAGACCCATTACGACAGTTATTGTTAGATGAGCCAATGAACAGGGATGGTTTGCCAGTATTAACTAATTCACATTAACCGTTGCTGTTACATATGATTATTAATTGAGTTTATGGACTTTGTGTGTGCTAGTATCTAGTGTGCATGTCGCAAAGAAAAGCAACTTCTTCGATTCGATCGTTGGCGCTGTAACACACTTTAATGGTACATCCCGTGTTGTTATCTGCGCGGATAACGCGGTTAGGCGAAACGTCGTCAACAGACATAGTTGTTTTGGGGTATCTTTATGTTGTTGGACCGCTATCGTAGGCCGGACGACAACGACGACGACAACACTTACATATGTAGAATCTCATGTTGTTGATTTTCATTATTGTATGAGCTTTTAATATAGCATGCTGCCACAAAGCCGGGAGTCTGTTCTTCATTGCTCGGCGGTTGCTATAGTCGCCACCATCAGGTTACCGTTCCTGCCTCGGAGTAGCCGGCACGCGTACGAAGAAAAGGGTTTAAATTCCTATGCCTATCGTTCCCATTAGCTGCTGCTGCTAGTTCTTATATACCTACAAACGTGACCGGCCGCCGTCCTATCGTACTGTGTTAACGGAGTTGAGGGGTGTAACTACCGCGTATGGCGAACAAATTATAGAAAATCGTTGGCACTGTTAGGGGAAAATATCTCATAGATTGTTCCGAGTTATTATACTTTACAGTGTATACAAAGGAAAATATCTAAATATAGGCCGCCTGTTCTAATCGAGAAGTTTTGTAGTTTGGTCAATGTAAATCGTATCATTGTAGTATGTATGTACTGCTGCTACGGCATCGCAACAGAGATTGAAAGCAAAGGCGTTTAACCGCCACTGTTAATAAGTATGAACTGCTGATATTGGCAATTTCCGAAACGAATACTAATCATTGTTTTATTGCTACTGGTTAGAGAAAAAAAAGATGAGTATTTTTAAGAATATAGGTCGGTTACAGTTACCATTCAGGTGTTGTCGCTATGTTTACTTTGCATTGCAGCAGTTGCGGATCAGCATTTGTCCTGAGTGTAGGCTTAAATTGGTAGATCGGCCCGCTGAGTAAATGGCTAATTTTGTTAGAGATCAGCGTGGCGTTTCATTAAGGTAGGACGTCGATGTTATTTGTGAGCTGTATCCGTTCTGCTAGTCCTAGTCATCATTTTTTCTTCTAGTTACCGATCGTATCGTCGTAGTGGACAACCTATTTTTGATAATTCAATTAAATAGAACAGGACTAGCTAATTCATTCAATCAGAACCGAACCGTCAGACGTCTGCTCGTAGTTATACCGTACTAGTGTCTCATTGAAGTTGCCATTTATAAACTGAATTACCAACATTCAATGAACAACGAAAGTAGGAAGTTCTAGGACTGCACGACAGACCGGGTTTAGGAATATTACGTAAACGTTCACAGTGAACACGATTGTTTTCTTTTGTTGTTCTTGTTTCCCCACGTACTGCTTTTTCATACAGGACGATCGACATATTACGGAAACAAGAAATTGTTCGATTGCTTTTAAAATAAGGCACTGCTGGAGAGGTTTAATATAAAAACTAATCCTCCAAAGCTATTATATTATCTATATTATTAACAAACAGCGCTATTATTGGGAATAAAAAAAAAATCTCCTTTTCTGCCTTCCTTTTTTCGCGTCCTTCCTCTTGTATCTCATGTACATATGAGCTCATACTCTGTTGTCTCTTTTATATGTTTTTCTTTATGTTTGATCCTTCGACTTCTCGGTTTCGTTCGTTAGAGGACCGCCGTTGAGCGACTATAGCATGATCCGGAATACTTGAAGGTTCGGATAATATGATAACACTAAACAGACAGATAGAAATAAGCAAAAAAACAGCATGCAAAACAGGGCACTTAGCTCAATCATGACATTATCGTTATAACATGGACAGTTTCCTGGTATCATCGTAGACTACGTAACATAATGCATACATACGGCTTGATTTCTAGGCATAGGCAAGCTGGGGTAGATTTTCCCCACAATAGCCGTAACTTGCATTTCTATTGTTACGCCCGTTGGCCTATCTAATTGTCTACTATACGCGCAAGAAGAGATACAGGCGCATCTGTAACTGGAAATACTAACTGCAGGTATATTCCATTTGTTCGTTTCGGTAAAGGGACACTTTAAGATGGACCGTCCAAATTGCGTTGCAAATTATTCAGTTTTTCCTCCTCTTTAAATATTAGGTTAGAATGCGACTTAGCATTCGCTCGCACAGTCGGAATTTTTTTAGGCTAAGGTTAAGCAAAAACTTTTTTACTATTTTTAAAATGACTTTGTAGATATGGCATCAAAAACCTAAAAATATTTAGATAGCACATACCCATAAAATGGCATGGAACTATTTGCCAAAGCGGACATTTTTAATTAGGAATGGCCGCATGTATGGGATCACCATGGTCATGCTTCCAAGGGGTGCGTATTAGCCTTCAGGCTTTGCTGCCTCTATTCTGTTCTATTCCATTCAATTCCTTGTTAGGTCTAATTTGTCAAATTTTACTCGCCAATTAAGTGCATATATGTACACATATACATAACATAGCCAGCATCTTCGCTTAAAATTACTACGGTCTTATCATTTAAGTAAAATTATTCTGTATGTGAAAAGGTTTTCCTACCTTATCTCCATGTGCATGGCAAATTTCTATAAGGATCATGTCGTTACCTCTCTATTATCTGGATCAAGAGAAAGAGACGTAGAGTTAATAGGATGTTATAACAACGAAACAATACATAACAGACAGCCCAAAGCAACTACTAACCCACGCCACTGTTTGAGTGTCAAATTTTTGCAGGTTGCACACCCATACATGTAGATTCGACAACAGATGAGAATAGAGATGACTGAATGTCCTAGGAAAAATTATGTATCGTTTTACTATTGTACAGCGTATTTCCAAAAACCTAGATCCTCAAGAAACCTAAGCTATACAGTGAGAGTGAAAATAGGGGCATACCGATCGATCCGAAAGAGACCCTGGATTAAAACGACTAGAAAACTAATCAAGGTAGCCCAAAGGACTATTTTGTATACATGTGCACCTTCTATATAGAAATCAACGACTATTTTAATTACTTATTAAAATTTAAATTATTACGTAATTAAATTGACGAATCAATTACAAAAACTTCCTCACAATCCCAGAAATAACTCATATTAAGACATCGCTATATGTTAACATACATATATATATATATCACAAATGACTTTTCATTTACCTCTGTTCTATTTGTTTTTTAATTTTTTCATATTTTTGAAACGCTGCCTTTCTCCAAACGAACTCCAGATGCTGTAATAAATGATGGAAGTATCTGATCTGAAAAGCCACACATAGGAACATTTCTTTTTGACAGTAAAAACGAATCAGCCAGGTAGAGCGGGTTGACTTCGCATGCTCGTCAGATGATGCATAGTCCGGATTGTGTTTCAGACGAAGATCTATTGCCACGAAAAATTGCCTAATATTTCTGATCAAGCTTGAGCTAATACTGAGACCATCAAAGATGTTCGCGTTTACATACTTGACGATATAACTTTATTTAAGTAGTTTAATATAAAACACCGATATAGAATGCCAGTTCTATGGACATGGACTTTCTCTGTATGTGTGGGGACAAATTGTGTGATTTTGTAGAAAAGCAAACTAGACTATTGGGTGATGTAAAGTTAGTTTATTTTCGATTCGAAGTACAATGCGAGTTGTTAAAAAGGCTTAGTTTCGAAAATTATCAAAATAAACTGTCGCTGCTGTTGCTGTCATCATTAACAGCTACGTAGCTGTTGCTCACAATGAACACTGTCGAGAGACGGCTCTGTTCAGGCTGACTCTACCGCTTTCCCAGTCTTCCTTTTGGCCCTTTCATATGTGGTTCTGTTTGGCCCGCTGTGGTTCCTTTCGAAGCTCTTGTTGTTATTGTTACTACCTGCTGCTGCCGCTGCTACTGCTTTTGCTCATATAATCGTTGCGGCCATTTGCTAGATTTGCACGCTGATTTGGCCGACTGTGATGTCCATATGAATGCGAATTTGTGTCTGTGTGTGCGTTTGGTACCGTAAATGGGTCACTCGGACTGCGTCGTGTTCTCTTTCTGGCAGGGAGGGCGTCTTTGACTTGTGCAATTCGTTACGTTGTA